GCGTTGTGGTCGGGGCTGACTTGACCAAAGTGCGCCAGTTCTTCCTTGTCGAGGTCGCGCGAGATCTTAATCTCATCTTCCCCACAGCTTTGGTCACTGCCACGACCATCCGGAGCATGCACTTGGCGACGGATAGCAACACAGACGCCCATCGCGCTTTTACCTCCCTATTCTCTTCTTTCGGAGCTGCCACATTACTGACGGTTGTATCTCAGTTTGCCTTGGGTATTTTAATGGTGGGTAAACGTCGTTAGCAAATTATATCGCACTACTGCTTCACAGACTGACTAGGTATCACAGGACTGGCATGTATTCACATGGCTCAAGAATTTAGGTCTCCTAGACCAGTTTGCTGTCGCTGCTGAAAGCTGGGGCTGGATCATTCAGTGGTCTCCCGCGATGATAGGAACGGGCATGCTGGTACCTCCAAACGTCGCGTACTCGTTCCTCGGAGGAACGACACTAGCATGGTATGGCCTTTCGAGTCAGGATGTCTACCTTCCATCTACCATACTAATATTATCTTCAGGGGCATAATCGGGCCGTACCTCGTTTCTTCTGGGATGGCATTCGGAGAGCCTGCTTCGGTGGCCGTGGGCTGGGAAGCACTGATGTCTTACTCCAGCATGTCGACGAAGTTCGCCAACGCAACACATCCGAGTCCCAGGTTCTGGTTGTTATGGCCTGGTGTACTAGGTACCCTTTCGATCGCTTTTTTCGGTATGGACTTTACTTGTCTGATCCTTTTGACTTTGGTTTTTATGCTGATTGTTCTCATATTCATATCTGGCCTGCCAATGGCGTACTTTTGCAGCTTTTACTCGCTCCGCTGTACAGTACGCTATTTCAAAACTTAGAAGGCCTTGGTGGCAAGATTGGAAATATAAGTACATGGGCATTGAGGTCGACGACCATCCCAACTCGTCCGAGTCCTCTCTGCCCGCATCGAAGGTCCCAGCACGCTACTGGGCGCCACAGCTTGTGGTCTTGCTCGTCTTTGCTTGTTTCTTCACCAATCTTGCATTTCAAATGAGTATCCCGACGACGCTTTTGTCCTTGACGCTGGCATTCTTCATGGCAACTGTCTGTATCCAGGCCACAGGAGCGACCGGTGAGTTTATGACGCCATTCATATAACATCACAATCATCGGCACTATGCTTCGACTTAGTGACTGACCTAATATATTCCTGCGTCCTAGACACCACACCAGTCTCCGCTGTCTCGAAAGCTTCACAAGTTTTAATAAGCAATGTCAGCCAAGCTTCCGGCGCAAGTATTCATACTGCTCAACGGTTGAGTCTGCTCGGGGGTGCACTGACGAGCACGGGCTCGAGCCAAGCAACTGGTACGAGAGGCCCCATTAATAGATCAAGAAGCGGAGTAGGAGCACCCGAAACTAACGACTATATTTCTCAGACTTGATGGTGGATCTCAAAGTCGGCTTCTTACTAGGTACACCTGTACTCCCACAATACTTCGCCCAAGTGATCGGAACCTTAGTCGCGACAATCTTCGGTGGGTAAAACCTCGAGAACGTTGCAATGCACAGGGACATGGATTGACTATGCCTCCCAGTACCCTCAATATTCATCTTGTTCACAACGGCTTATCCCTGCATATTGGACGATCATGACGGAAGCAACAACAACAACACCAGGATCGAGACATGTGAGTTTACGGGGCCGTCAATAGCAGCGTGGAAAGCGGTGGCCATCGTAGCCAGCGAGCCTACGTCTCCGATCCCGCCCTCGAGCAAGACGTTCTCGCTAATCTTCGTTGCTCTTTGTGCCCTTGTTGTCCTTTTCCGCCATTTGCTTCTCGTCGGTAGACGGGTGTTCTTGCGTAGTTATATCCCGAACATGATGATCATCGCTATCGCGTTTACTTTACCCTCGCCTCAATATGGAGTCAGTATGGCGATAGGGGCAGCTATCGCTCAGATATGGAGATCGAAACATCCAAAGAGTTGGAACAGCTATGGGCTTAGCTTCGCTTGCGGTCTCGTCGCTGGAGAAGGGATTGGGGGAACTATTAACTGCATGTTGTCTATATTGGGTTTTGGCGGCCGTAAGCATGGCGGTACATCCGTTGGATGTCCAGCAGGTCGATGTTGAGATACAGCACACACAACATAGCTCTTTAGATCGGACATCAGTAGTCCGTAATGATCACCATGCCGAGACGCTTAAAACAGGACTTCTTCAGCGGTGTCTATTGGCTATTGCACGAACCATGTGAAATCGCCTTTTAACCTTGACTAAGCTTTTATCCAGAACAGTATTAATGTTATTATATCGAATGCATTAAGCTAAATGCAAGGTAGAACCATATTTTAACGAGCAGAAGTCCGGTAACATGTCAAGCAGAAACAGAACCAAGTTATCTTTTGGTTTGGTAACGAAGGCACCGTTGTACCGTGGAGGAGGTATGCTCTCATTATCATCGCTGGGTGGGAGTACGAACCCATCTCAATACGGCCAATGGTAAGAGAGGTATGCTGTGATGCCAGGTGGTGAAAATGGAATCAATTATAGTAAAAACTTGATGCCCTCGTTTTTAATAAAGGAGGTACGACTAAGTAGAACAAGGGTTCTCTTGTCGGGAAATCTTCTCTCTAGAGTCTTTGCCCTCGTTTTTAACGAAGGCGCCTGAGACTTGCTAAGCAAATCAGTAATCGATAACGATAGGACCTCAGCATTATCCAGGTTCAGCAACAACCCGCCGAGCTCCTCACGGCGAACCCGGGGTTAATCGGTACTTTGTATTGAACAGCTTTCGGATAGGATCTCAAGATGCCAATGACCTAGAGAAGACATTTTCTTCCTGCCGAACCACCTTGAGATTCCAATTCTAACACTTTTTTCTCTCGAACATTCCTTGTCCGCTTCCGAAAGCGACAGCTTCAGCACCGCAATCATGGCCGACGAAACTGCTCTGAAGGACTTCCTATCGCCCTTCTCACTAAAGGGCAAGGTCGCTATCGTGACCGGCGGTTCGCGAGGCCTTAGCATGAATACGGCTTCAATGTGAGTCTGAACGTCTCTCTGTCTCTCTTTTCGACTCTGCATTGCTGTCGGGTGTCCTGTTGCGATCCCCAATCTTGGTCTCAGCGCGGACCGGCAGCTTAGCTCACGCACACCAGTTATCACGCATTTCCCTATATGGCCCCCATTTCACTAGAAAGATATCTAGTCTGCTAACGTAGGCGCTATTTAAAGCAAGGGCTTTAATATGTATTTTGAAGCGGCCTTTATTAAAGTTATAGAATTTAACGTTAAAGCCGTTTTTATAGCTATATAAAAGCTTACGCTGTTATTAGAGAAAAAGGCAACGTTCGAAGACTTTTTGCGCGTTATTGTTATTGCTAATGTCGTTGGTTTAAGCGTCGGCTCGTTTAGTCAGCAGGCTATTTTCGGCTACTCGACTTTTAAGGCAGCCGTGTTTTACTTCGGACGTAATTTCGTTCTCGAGTTAGGCCCGAGGCATATTACGAGCTTGGTAGAAATAATAAGCGGGCTGGAGAAGTATACGAAATTAAATCCGACGCGGCGTTTAAGTAAGCCCGAGGATATCGCTAAGGTCGTAGTATACCTTGCTAGTCGCGCCGGGGCGCACGTTAATACGGCCACGATAGAAATCGATAGCGGTGCGTTTTTCGGCGTGTATTCGGTCGGCATCATCGCCACGAGCCCAACAAGTGCTGTAGTCTTCTACATCAGAATAACAGCAGCCAAAATCAGTAAAGGGATGTTGCCGCCAGCATGGGAATCGGTTTCCGCTGCCTGGAGCCCCGGGGAAGCCAAGCCGGCGTACAGATTGGTGTTGGCGGCGGAGAAGATTCTGGAGGCCGCTCGGGTTCTTGTAGATGAAATTGCCCGGGGGCGTAGTGACTCCCCACAATGCATTCGCCGAGTTGTATCCGGTGACCTCAGTGACGATGTCCAAGCAGCTAGGCATGTTGCGGCGCAATGTCTCGAACAGAGGAGCGATTATGAACTCCCTCAAGGATGACGCCCTCGATGGTCTACTAATTTAGGAGGAAGTGCGGATTCATGCCGATGATGACGACGTCGAAATAGAGCTTGGGCTTACTCGTATCCGTATTGGGCTCGAGCTCGGGCTCGTCGGGGATGGAGTTGATGTTGGTACTCTCGATCGTGAGACTGTCGAGAGGATCTATATGTACCTGAGCTATGCGCCGCACCCGCGTCTTACCCCATTCATACTGACTCGCTCCTGAGTCGGATGAGTGCTGTGAAGATGTGGAGGGAGCTGCTGATCATGATGCATCTGAACGGGCTGTGACGGAACGTTCGCCAACGTGTTCTTCTTCGCGGACCTCTTCGTGGTCACGTTTATAACCTAGCTAGCGTCGGAGTCTAGGTAATTCCAGAGGAGATCAGAGGCAGCGGTGTGCTTGTTAAGACTATTGCCATGACATAATGATAAAGACGTTCGTGATGATGTTGTATACGTTATGGAGACAAGCGGAGGCTGACATGAAGGCAGTGGTAATTGCTATTTCGTCTTATATGTCTCTCGTGAGTTAGCTCGTCGCTCCAATCACGATTATAGTAATCAATATTCCGACGGTTTGACCAAGAATGTCTACCTGTCTTTGACAAGATAGACCTCCCTCTCCGTTAACACAGTATCCACAGTATCCCCTTCCCCTGGGCGACAACCTCAACCGTGTGCGAGGTTCATGTCATCCTCATCTTCATGGGCATCGGCTATTCGGCCGTGTGTTTGGCCGTCATCACATTGCGTAAGCGAGGAGCGCTCGAGACAGCATGCCCTAGCTTCTCTAAGCATATATATACTTTTTTAAATAAAAAATTCTGCTTAGGCTCCGGGTTCGAGTCCCAGGTATTGCAATTTTTCTACCGTATCTTAGCTTATTCGAGCATATATACTTTTAAAAATAAAAAAGCTTGCATGGGCTCCGGGTTCGAGTCCCGGTTATCGCAATTTCTCTGAACAGCAAAAAATAAAATTTGCGACGCCCGGGACTCGAACCCGGAGCCCAAGCAATTTCTGTCTTTGAATAGGACATGGGAAGCTTGGATTTTACCCTTAAACCAGCATCGCCAACGCTTTAATGGATCGTGTGCGATCCATCCATGTCACTTGAGATGTGGAGAAGTACCCTTATTAGGTACTATAATACACAAAGAATGTGACATGTTACGTCAGAAAACCCCTCCCCCGCTAGAAGAGCAAAGCAGCTATAAAGCACTTGGAGAGTAGGTAACTGCATAAATACAGCGAGTACGCAGTAATTGGCCAATAAGCATCCTATGCGTCTAAACAGAAATGCGAGTTGCTACGGCCGCAGGTATCTAGATCAATCAGCTCATAACCCCACTAGCATCTCCATCAGGAATAATGACCAACATCTCTGTGTGAGCTTCCTAACCAGCACAATCCAATCATAAAATTCACGCCGACGAAACCTACTTACTTAACAAAGCCTCCAGCCAAGCAAAAAAAACTACTGACAACGAACCTAATTCCTAATTATCACCGCACACCAGCCAGCCCAGCATGAGCAGCAGCAAAGGTAGCGACAAGATCGAGAAGATCATCGCGCGACTGCAGCAGCGCATCAGCGAGGGGCAATTTTACGAGGCCCAGCAGCAGACCCGCGTGGTGGCCGCACGATACACCAAGGCCGCTAACTGGACCGCCGCCATCGACATTCTCTACAACGTCGCCCAGTCTCTGTTAAAGGCTGGGCAGGGTGGCAGCGGCGGTGACCTCTGCGTCCTACTCGTCGAGACCTACAAGCAGGCCGAGCTCAAGCCCGACTCCGCCAGCAAGGGTAAACTGCTGACATGCCTGCGTTTGTTCGACAGCGAGGAGCCCACGCGTAAGAAGTATATTGGAGAGATAATAGCGTAGGTTCACGAACTTGTTCTATTCGGGCCCGGATTGCCCTCTAGGTAGGAAGAGCTATGGAATGTGCTAACATAAAAGGCTGCCCACAGATGGTCTGCGAAATTCGGTGACTATCCTGCTGGCGACCCTGAGCTCCACCACGTTGCCGGCTCCCTATACGCAGAAGAGCACGAAGCCTACGATGCCGAGAAACATCTGGTGTTGGGTACTAAGGATTCCGCAGAGGTGCTGGCCCGCATGGAGTATGAGTGGTTCAAGGAGGACGAAGCACATACGGCTGCCCTGTACGCTGGTCGAGCTGTGTTGCCGTATCTGATAACGGCGAACGTCCGAGCTGCCAATACATCCTACCGCATCTTCACTAGCGCACTCAGCGAAGACAGACAAGGTCAGCTTGGTGTCCAAGACGTTAGCAGCAACAGCGCCGATTTGCGTGTTTTCCCAAGTATACCGCTCCTCAATTTCCTCGGCCTGCTATTGCTCGCCATCCAGAGAGGCAGCCCCGATCTCTACAGACAGTTGACAGCCAAATACGCCAGTCATCTGAAAGATCTCGACATGTGGAGCGAGGCGCTAGAGATGATTGCCGAGATGTATTTCGGAATCTCGAAGCCTCGGCAGAGCAACCCTCTGATGGATATGATGAGTGGTTTCTTCGGCGGCGGCGGTGCTCCTGCAGGTGGGAGCTCCAAGAAGCCTGCTGTCAAAGCCCCGACATCGATGCCGGCAGCGGAGGGTCTAGACTAATCGAGTCTTGCCGGGATGAGTGTAGCATAGACAGCCAGCATAGAGAAGATTATGACAAACAGACTCCTCCCTAATCATGTTCAATGCACGCGTGGTTGTTCTTCGGCCTCGTACATCCAATTGTCTTCAGCTAATGCGGCTACCTTTGCCCTCATGCTGGCCTTAAGTGCCTCGAGTACTTCTACTTTCATTATCAGCGGAGACCAGTAACAACAGCCTAGTTTCGATCTACCTTCAGGTTGCGCGGGCATGCGCGTGTGATTGATCTGGTGATGTCGGACAGCCTCTGCTAATTTCTGCCTTTCCCCTAAATGTACATAACATCGTAAGCACATCTTCGAGTCTTCCATATCTTTACAATAGAAAAAAGGTGGCGAAGCGAGAATGCGTACGTTCGTTCTCCTGCACGTCATCCAGCGCGGCCTCGTCGCTGTGGTCGTCAAGCGGTGGCGTAGGCGGGTCCCCGACCTCGAACTCGCCGTTCTTGTCGCGGATAACGATCTCGGAGGAGTCGGACAGCACGTCAATGTCGAGGCGCAACATCTCGGCCGAGTTGGACGACGAAGAAGTTGCTGCTGTGGTTGTATCACCTCCCCCTCCCGTTCCCGTGGTTGTCGTAGGTCGTCGCGTTAGGTGGCTCTGGAATAGGTTGCGTCGCACCCCTGTCGTGCTTGTTGCTGCGCGCGTTATGCGGCTTGTGCCCGGGCGTAGGTTGGCGGGCGGTGCGCGATCGGTCATCGTGTTGTGTCTATCTAGGGAAGGGGATACTAGATGATTGTCGAATGGGTTGAGGCCGATGGCGTTGTGTCCGACAGTTAAGTGAAACTTGTGCACAGGGGAGTATAGATATTGAAGTCGGTAATGATATTAGTTAGTATACGAGGTCAATTGGGGAGAAACACGGTCGTGGTGATGGTTCGGCCGTGAAAGCTGTACTTATTATAGTAGATCGGATGGAAGCTTGTGATTCTGGTTTAGGTAGAGCGGCGCAGTGCGACGGCGCGGGAGCTGGAATGGGTCCCGGGAAGATTGCCGAAGGCCTGCAGGTGTTGTTTTAATGGGACGCTATAGGTACCTAACGCGGGTCCACCCACCCAGCTAGTAAATTCGGGGGTAGGTAGGTATCACCACAGGTGACAGAACACGCCAATACAATGTAATATGCCGTGTAAAGTCTATGCTACTGCATCTACGACATGATACATGTGGCAATACTAGCCAAATCTCACATAACATCTACGGTGGTTTTAGTAAAGTAATAATAAGCTGGAACTGACATATTAATACTTTCGTCACTCAACTGTCGTAGTGGAGTTTGGTGTTCGAAGCTGTCCTCGCGATGATGTCTTGACTGCAAACATCCTCATCTTGCGGTAGTGTTGAATTAGTATAGACTATCTACCTAAGGTACTGCACATAATAAGCCCGAACTGCTATCATTCAAGCACTCTTATGAAAAATTACCAGTGCGCTACAATCTCCTCTAGGGACTGTATACAGGACTCGTTACTCTGTAGGGAAAGTTTGTAGCGTCTTTGTTCGACTTAAAGAAGTCGACAATGCCATACTTATCTAGCTATAGATCAGATAGTCCACCCACGTTCACAGTCAACAAAGCCGTACTAATATTTTTTGTACGCAATTATCGCTTACTATGCTGCTCAAACTCCACCAAAGTAATGAGTGATAATGAACCAAAGAAGAGCATTGACGTACTGAATAACTGATTCATACGAAAATTGGGGGCAGCTGAACAGCGATTTTCTTCCTTCCGATGTACACGTCAGTCTTCATGGGCTTCATATGCCTTCATCACCAGGAAGACAAAGACTAACATCGCTACGAGGGCACCTACAACGAAGCCGCTGCACTAGCGTCACGAGTCAACACGACATAGGTAGGCTACTAGTGGCTATAAGTAAAGAATTAGCTACATACCTAGGAAGACTATCTTGAATTTATCCCGGCCATCCATAAATGTTGACGGGCTCTTACGATGTTTGAAATAATGTAAAAACCATCACGTCTTGGTCTGCTCATTCTCAGACGCCTGGAGACGTAGTAGTATCTTGGGTGAAAGGCACACAAGGTTTCGAGAGAGTGATAGGTCGAAGGAGATGGTATTTGATTGGTCAACCGCGGTTTTACGGGGGCTAGCTGGTCTCGGATGTTCATTGGCCCGCCATTGGGTAGTAGGGATGTACTCAAGTTTGTACCACAGCAGTATATACAATCCAAACAGCTGCAGCATCAACCGGCGATCCCTTAAAGCTTAACTTACCATTGCCAACAGGCTAACATTGCCTGAGTTTCCCTCTATTCTTTATATTTATTCTAGTTACTATTATCTGTGGCAATGGTTGAGCTCTGAAGATGACCTCGCCAACATTCAACATCCAACCGATTGGTCGCTTTACCGGCGAGAGCGAGCCAGTGAAGCGACCCAAGGTACGGCACCCCAGGGCCAGGTTGAACGCCTGTATTCCATGCCTCAATCCTCTACTCTCGCTGAAAGTTTTCGTTTCAATTTCCGACTAACCAATTGAAAGGAAATCGCATGCTTTTCCTACGATGACAAACATGAGTTTCATCTCGACGACTCATCGGTACAGTGGTATTACCCCCCTAAATTAGGAGCCGACTTGTCCAAGGGATTCGACAAGTTCGACAAGCACGATGACTCCGCCGATGAGCATCTCGATAGCCTGCTGAAGACAATCGCAGCTCATGAGCAAGATGAGGGGAAGAAGATTGACGCCAACGTCGTCACGTGGCGCGGCATGATGACCAAGGTGAACAACACTTGTTTTGGAGTTGTGTTTGGTCTGAGGAGTAGTTGATCTGACCGTCTCTCGTAGATAATGGCGGCACCGTTCGAGGACCGAGATGGGTATGTTAAGATAACCGTCAACGATGACAAAGGCGCAAGTCTGACTATTCCGTTCATGCTAGCTTCGAAATGAACGCAACTCTATATCAAGTATGGAAATTTACTGTTGATGCTTAGAGATACCTCCACTAACCGATTCAAGGATTGCATGTATGAATCGGCATCTCGTAATGTCAATCGAGGTCGGGACGATCTGACAACGGCGCAGCTTCATCGAGGAAAACCATGAGTATAAGCAAGCTCAGAAGGAACAGCAAAACAAACAGCAACAGGGCCGACGAGGCCAATTTCCACCCGACGTTATGACATATTGGGGTAAAACTAAGGATAGCCCCCTTGTCTCTCAGTAAGGCTTACTAGGAATGCAGGCTACAAATTCGAGGTACTTTCTTGTCTGCCACAGCCCTGGGGTGAAGTAAGCCGCGAGTTTATCGAAACTCGCGGCGAGCACATTGTCAGCAATAAAGCGCAATACTGCTCTGTGGTGCGGACAGGTATGGGCAAGACGGTCCTATGCCTCGGCGGCGAAGTTGACGCGAGTAAGTCCTTCCCC